TTTTCATCTTGGACACGGAGCCTTCAACATTGCCACAGACCCCAGAAGATGACACCGCATTCCCGTCGCCAGCAGCCAGCATCAAACAGTCTTCTAACAGCCTGCTCGGAGAAGAGACGACGCCCGAGCTCAGGTTAGTCCGCGGGCGCTATCCACCCCTGCGCCTCCGGCGGCGCTCCCCCTCCCTACAACCTAGGCCCCGGCCGTAGAAGCTTGCGTGTTTTGTGGTATGAAGGATTTATGTGGTGAAAGGGAAGTACTTTCTTAATGACGTTTATTTTTATGTAAATGTGAAAATTGGTTGTATTTCGTGTGAGTTACGTTCCCCCCTCATTTTTTACCCCCTTTTGAGGATTCTCGCTGCATGTATAATATTATGTGAAATGAAGCGTTAGTCCCACTGTTCAAAAAATGGTGTTGGGGCTATGATAATTCAATTTTTTTACTTTCTTGCCTCGTTCTGTGTCTTGTGAAGTGATTATTTTAAAATAGTTCTAATAATATTTATTGAAATGTTTTAGGTATCATATTGCTCTCTTTTTTTTTTTTTGCATGTGAGAGAGATGCAAAAATGGTCACAAGTAATTGGGTCTTTATTTGCTAGTCGTACCTAGTCATTTTTTTTTTTTGAAAATTAATAACAAGTGAACCAATTAAAAATGTGCCTAATTAAGCACAGAGATGAGTATTACAGAAATGACTGTCTTCTGCGATGTACCACGTAAGTCTTTTGGATACTGACCAACATTTCAGAGGAGCTTACTGCCCTGATAATGGAAGCAGTAATCGTCTCTGAAGCATCGGGTCACTGTCTATAATATCAGACTACGCGGCACAACATTCCAGAAGACAGTCGTCTTGAACGTAGATTCATGACGTTTCAGTGGAATTTTATTAAAAATACTGCGGCTGTCGTTACCTCTCTAGGGGCCTATGACGCAGTGGATACAGGTCGTTACGAGTTAAAATAAAAATGATTGAGTAAGAAGTTTCAGGCTTCGCAGAATTGAACGTGAGGTACGCAGCGTACGTAATACATTGTGATTGTGACATTTAGAACTGTAAGGAAGTTACGTCTCGTTTCTTTCGAGTGTGGATCGCCTATTATTTATATTGTACCTAGGATTAATTTTATTACTAAAACTTGCAAAAATATAATGCGGAGTGTGAAATTGGAAAGTAGCTAAATTGTGCAGACCTATACATGTAAATAATGGCATTTGCTAAGTTCTACGCTGCACAGCAGTTTGTATGCATATTCTGAAGTTTCTCTTTGTTTGCTTTCACAAATTTTACGTATTTAATAATTATATTGTATGTACAGATTTTATTAATATTATGATTTCTACTCAGTCTATAATTTCTCTTAGCTTTCTTTTTCAAACTTCTGACATCTTAATTCCTCCTCATTTTTATCCTGACCGTTCACTCCTGACTTCCTCTAATGCAATAAGATATTAAACGTGTCAGACCCCAGTAGATGCAGAGTCGCTGCTGCGCATTTGTCTATATGAGATCCCATCCTCTATTTACGCTCAACAGTGACGAAGCATCACGGGAAGACGATGGCAAATGGAACAGTGATGGGAAAGTTAGCGAAGGATCAAATTCGACGCCCGATATTCGGCTCGCTGATAACGACGCTCAGATATGGAGTGACCGGTTGGTGACGGAGTCTGAGATCGCCATGACGAGCAAACCGCGACAGACCACCGGAGACCAGGTTATCAGAGACGAAGCGGAAGATGCAGATGATGACGAAAAGTTGAATCTTGATGTTTCTACAGCGGGGGGGAATGTGAATTATCTTAGGTACAGTATGTGTAGGTCGACGTAACGTAGAATGCATTACCCGCTGCTTGTCGACGAGAGAAATGTTGGAACTGAAAATACTTTCGTCTGTTACCCTATGTTAGTGCTTCTGTGTGTCGAATTGCCATTCGCTCATTCTTAGCGGAGGATTGGTAAATTCGCTATCTGATGTTGGATGCCTCGGAACATTCTGTGTGCATATAATTTGTTGTACGTAGTCGTAGATGCATGGATACCACAAACCAGAAAACAGGAAGGATTTCTTTTGTACTCGTCGTATTCTGTATTGTAAGTGTTTAAATGTGTTATTGCAAGTTCAGTGGCTGCTGTTTGAATAACTCGCGTTCTGAGCTATGTTAAAAAGGTTGACGTATATATTTTGTATGATTTGAAACCTCTCTCATCTCTTGCCGATTGTAATCTTCCACGTCATGATGCCATGTAGTCTTCTAGGTTGTTATCAAATTTTAAAGGAATATATTTCATCCATTTTCAATCCTGATGTTCCTACAAAAATTGCATAACGACATAAAAGACTAAACGGTATCACATCATCTTCACTGCCATAACAACCATAAAATTTAGTTCACGTTATTGAAATTACGTCGAGAATCAGCAAGTGGCAATATGCCTTCGAAATGGCCGAGACGAATGTTAAATCAGCTAGGTCATTGGTCCCCAACCGTTTTGTTTGTGCCTACGGGCACATTTGAGAGTTTATGAGATCGTGGCGGGCACCAACCAATTAAGAAAGCCAAATTTTCTTTTCTCTGGACAGATAAGATATGGACACCAAATAATACGCAAAACAACAC